CTTCGCCAAGGTGCATGCCACTCCGCCGAGGAGCTCACAGGTTCTGGCCGCCGGAGCAGAGCCTTATTTGGGCTTCTTTCATGCGGAGGAGGGTTATAAAACGATGTCGCTGGGTGAGGTTGCCAAAGATGTTATCGGAATAGCGTACAAGAACCTGCTGGGCGGAATCTTTCGACGAGCTCCAGAGCCCCTGCCATCGCCCGAGGAATCCCCACTGCCCGTGCCCACAAAAGAAGCACCTATGCGGATTCGCTGCCGTCTATACGACGGAAAGAGAGACGGTCTGACCTTGGCTGTGGCACCAGGTGGACGCCTGGCTTTCGTCACCGATAATCTGGATCGTGTGATGTTGGTGGACACGCACCAGGCCATTATCTTGCGAGTTTGGAAGGGCTATCGCGATGCCCAGTGCGCATTCGTTCCAGTAAAGGAAAAATCTGTTCGCGGAATCAAAACGCACAAGCGAAAGTCTTTGTTCCTGGTGATCTACGCTCCTCGAATGGGCTGTCTGGACATCTGGGCTCTGCAAAACGGACCAAAGGTGGCTGCATTCAATGTTTCGAAGAGCGGGCAGCTGATATACAACAATCACAATGCCCTAGGCTCCGGCGGTAGCAGTGGATCTGGTAATAGTGGCAGCCAGTCAAGAAAAGCTTTAGCCATCAATCATTGCTTGTTTCTGGACCCCAGCGATGGCAGCCTAAAGGAGATACACATTCCCTTTCACTACGCGCTCAGCGAGACCAGCTCTCAGACATCCCGGGATATCCATATGCTGAGGCGCCTTAGAAATCAGTTAAGGACCATAAACCATGGGCAAGCCAAAGATGAAGCGTTGGGGGAGATTGCCGAACTGGCAAGTGAACTACAGACGTTGGAGGTGCGACAACAGTGCCTGGAGATGTTGCTAAAGAGCAAGAAGCTACAGCCACAGGTTTTTCAATGCCTCATTAATGCCTTCATCAAGAAACCTCTTTCGGAGACAACGGGTTCCGAGGAATTTGTCAACCAAATCGAGAACTATAAACGCTTGACTGATCTCTACTTGTCCCTAAGCCAAGCCAAGCAGCGGGAAGACAACGAGCCACCCGTAGAATACTTGGAGCTCTCTGATGCTGATCTTGTCACCATAAACAAGTTGGTTTTGCTCCTGGACGACGGCACTGAAAAGAATAAACCCGCCGCCACCCGCGAAGTCAGCTTCCAGTTTCAGGCGGAGCACAAGATCGAAGAGTTTGTCGATTACCTGAGCATTTTTAACATCGATAGTCCGGATGGCATAAGTCTACTTCCAGAGAAGTCGGATAAGTTTGGCGCCGTAAGCATCGATCTCTTTAGTCAGTTCTTTGCCCAGGGTCTATGCTTTGGTCAATTCAAGCAGTGGATCAACCAGGCGTGTCTGCCCAGCAGAGATTTGCTTAAGTTGATTATTTGGTTTTGGCTTGAGAAGCCCTTTAAGTACAACAACTGGTAAGGAAAACAGTTTGTAAATTCCAATCGTGACTTATGTAGAACCTCTTTTCTTGCCTTAGTGATGAAGTAGTGGAAGACATGTCCAGAATCGCTGCTATGGTCCAGACCATTTGCGATCTGGCCGGTGACCACATCCACGACTATGCCTACAATGCCATTTCACCGTGGTGGCAAGAAGTTCGGGAACTTCTCTTGGAGAGTAAACAATTTTCAGGCTTGCTGGTTGCCATTGTGTGCAAAACGGTGGCGAGTAATTTGTGGCGAAACAGAAAAGAGGTAGGTCTGCTGTTTATAAAACCCAAAAACTCTATTGCAAAAACATGTTTTCATTAGGGATCTTGTGATGAATCCTCGCAGAACGAGGATGAGGAGCGCTGGGAACGTATCTCCCACGATGAGGCTCAGTGGGGATTGCTCACTGGCAAGCTGGAGGATGTGGCCGTGCTAGGAGCCATACTCAGGTAAGTGCCGAATCAATCTTTCCGCTCAGTTCTTAATTAACTGCTGCTCCCTTCGCAGTAAGCCTCTCAAATGCCGGGATCCTGTAGGTCCAGAGATGTCCTACGAGCCACCGGACTGCAGTCTCAAAAGCATTGTGAGCAGTGGCAAAGGCATCGTCACCGAACTGACAGCCAAGTGGCTGATAAGTGCACAATTACATCCCAGTAAAGTTCTGGAGATCTCGCCTCCCGAAAACGAGTTCGACGATGAAAGCAAAGTTAAGATAAAGGATAGGCCAACTAAGGAGCCAGCCAATGAGGATGCAGAGTCAGAAGAGGATTTGGAAATGGCAAAGGAAGCGCACGCGCCGAATAAAGACGCCCACGAACCTATTCTTGAACGATTGGCTCTGCTGCGTGCCCACTTTCCCTTTAGCTTGGAGTCGGGCGTCCTCTTAAGTCTCATGTCGTGGCAGTACATGGTCCAGTGGAGCAAGCAGCTCTCATCGCTAGATCATCTAAAGGCTGCTTTGCTTTGCTTAAACCAATTCCGGACACCTGACTGGGCTCTAAAGCATGGAATATGTTGCATGCTGTGGAATGCCACCCTGAAGTTTCCTCTCCAGGCGGCGGCAAAGCTTATTCAGAAAGTGGGACGCCTGCCAGTGGACAAAATGTGCCAGCAGGATCTGGAGATGTCGGCGGGAAAAGTGCCAGAGTTTCTGGAACTCAGCCTCGAATTCCTGCAGCATTTCACCGCCTCTATGGAGCACGATAAGCGGGAACTCCACTTTGAGCAGTCACTTAGTGAAGGAGCCCTGCCATTGCAGTTTCTAGCTCTCCAGCAGCACCATGCCATGCCGCAGCTGCTCCGCCTTCAAACAGAACTGTGTAGCGTGCTGCACTTCGTGTCCTTCTTCCAGCTGCGCATTCCGAAACCACTGACCACGCTTTTTGACTCGATGAGCAACAAAGCTCTGTTGGCGGACATCAATAAGGAACTGCCTTATGTTTTGCCTGCACCAGATCTTGTCCTGCAACAGCAACGCACTGATTTCCTATGTCGCCTTGTAGCCGCAACCATGGACCTGATTAGGGAGGATTTGCAGCACCTGTACATTCTCGATCATGTCTTCTACATGTCCAAGATCTGTGCTTTGGCCGACAGTTGGGAGGTCGACAAATTACCTATCCTACGACGGCAGGTGAGAATTTGCCTTTGTGTTGGGATCACTAGGATATAGTGATCCTAGAATTTCTAATCTAGCAACCCATGAACATTCAAATGGCGCTTACGATGCCTTTCGGCTTATAACTTCAGTTTGTTTTTGTGTTCAGTAGGGAGCACAACAGAGGAAACACTTTGGAATACAAAATATTTCAAATATTTTTCCCTCCTCCAGGTGGTTGAGCTGTACGCTTTTGGGTATGATGCTGAGGCTCAAATGTTGCTCCATGACATCAGCGATGACGAGGAGCTGGGACGACTGCTGCTAGAGATCGCTGGACGTAGACTCAACCTCTATGCAGAGAGCTCGCAGTCCACGTTCCTGAAGATTGCCTCTGTTGGCCACCAGTTGCTGGCCTACCTGGACAACCTGGTAAGTGCTACCAGCGTATACCATCCGCAGTACTGATCCACGCTCACTCCTCACATCGCTCCCGCAGAAGGAGCCGATGACGGAGAACAGCATCCAGATTGCGGCCACCAAGCCCGACGAGATCGATGTGGCCGCCCTGGACAGGCTGTTGTCCCACGCCTACAAATGCCTCTGTCGGCGCGAGTCCAAGCAGCTGCCCATCATTGCCCAGATGTACAACGCCGTGCGTATCCTGCAGAAATAGGAGTGAGGATGACACGAAAACACTTATTGTATTTTACGTTTATCGCATGATTTGGATGGGTTTAAGAACAAACCCAATGTTCAATGGTAAAGCACTATATCGTTTTGTAGCCAATAATCACAAAGTCCGCATCGTCTCATGAACATGTTCAATCAACTTACGGAAAGCATCACGTTTACTACTACCAAGACAAAAGGAAACAAGGATCGACACCGATAGGATATATCCAACACGAATTTGATGTGAAGCTTACTCTTTGAATTGTTAATTATCAAGAGTATTAAAAGGCATATAAAGCAAACTCATACAAGCCTTCAATGCCTATGAACACATATATTTATTTCAATATTGTTTTAGACTTTTGGGATAACTTATGGTATTCAGATAGTAGAGCAATATATTCTTCATTGATGCCCAGCGTTATTCAATTTTGAATTCAATTTATATTTAAGCAGGGATCCAAACGGGACCTTGAAGTTCGAGTCTTAGGCGCCGCCTCCAAGTTCTCCGCCTGTACTCGCCCAATGGCCTCTGGCGTGGGCAATCTTTCCGGCATCCTGGTGGCGTGCACTTTGAGATGAGTGTACACGGCAATGTAGCTCTGACTGGTGTCCAGTTCGATGGGTGGACTCTGCCCTATGCGGCCGGGCAGGGCAAAGTGCTTACCAAGAATGGGTTCCTTGAGAGATCGGGCCAGAAGGTTTTGTAATCCATTGCGGTCAGTCTCCCACTGCTCGGTCTTGAAACTTGAATTCATTAAGAATTAATCGAACGTAGAAATGTTGAATTCAAAGGTGTAGTGACTAGAATTTTTCCGAACAAAGGATACGACGTCCCGAGTTGCACTAGGTTAGTGGCACTGACTCCGACTAATCGAAAAACAACTTTCCCTCCTTCATGGCAACAAGTAGCTCAGTTTGGCATACCTTTCGTTACCGCCCTCCACTGCTCCTCCTGCTCGGTTATGACTTATTTATTATTCGAGGCAAAAATCTGATTCTCTGGTTTGTTCAATTTGGGAACTCGGCTGGGACACGCAAGGCCAAGAAGCAAGGAACTTGTTTCGTGGGTGAAGTTTATCATGTTGATAAACATGTAGGATAATGAGGAATGTCGTTAGAGACAGTTTCATGTGGTTCCTTAATAGTCGCAGGATTGCTTTTATAGGCATACAGTAAACTCACGATACAGCCTAACTGGCCGTCCATTGGCTTCTTTAAATAAGTACAATCAAAAAGAACATGTATGTATATAAATGTGTATTGGGCTTAGCTACAGAATGGGTTATAGAGGTTGAACAATCACTTAAAGGTTTACTAGGCTAGGGTCTCTACAGGCAGCGGGCAATCAATTCGTTGATGGCATTGCCACGATCGCCGTATTCGCCACCGCGTTTGTACGAGACGGATACCTTTTTTTGCCAACCATTGCTGGGACTGGACAACTGCAAAGAACCAAATGACAGCATTAGGATAGTTGTAAGAATCCCATGAGAAAAGTAAACCAACCGTGAAGGCGCACAGGAACTCATTGACAGCGGAGAAATTAGGACCCACTGTGCAGATTTCATGGATTATATCCTCCAGACAGATAACACCCTTGGCGCCCAGCTGTTCCTCCACCATGGTGTTCGACTGGATGGCAGTCTTCTTGCCGTCAATGCGGGCGAAACCCTTCTTGAAGACCAGCTCGCGAATGGAGCTCAGCGAGGGGTTGCCGTAGACCACAAAGGGTTCGATAACGCGCAGCAGCAACTGGTTCTCCTTGGTGTTCTCCAGGAATACGGCGTTGTGGCGTGAGCCCATGCGCAGGGTTCGGAATATTTCCGCGGTGGTCTTGTCGAAGATCTTCTTGCCCGCATGGCGCATTACGAAGAGCAGTTTGGGATTGGAATCGTCGGCAGATTTGGCACTTTGCTCGGTGACATTGGTGCGCAAAATGGTTTGTTTGATCCGCTTGGCCGTGCGCTCTGCTTTCAGGTAGCCCATTACGAAGGATTCGGCACGGCGGAACTTGTGGTGATTCTTGGTGGCGGTCCTCTTCTTGATGCGGTCATTTCTTTTCTGCGTCACAACAGATTCATCCTGGAGAATTCTCCTCTTGCGATGCTTCAGCACCGATACTGTTTTGCCGGGCAATTTGTTGGGCACTGCGTATCTAGGGGGTCAAGTTATAGGTTCAAGTTTAAGATCAACAAATTTGTATCGCTTTTCAATCACTCACTTGTCTGACATTGCTAGTATTTGGCTTTTTAAACGCAGTAAAAGAAAACACGTGCAAGCACCAAAACAATAACTAAAAAGGATGGAGGTGAGCGCCCAGCGATAAGTGCTCTGCTATCGATATGTGCTGGGTGCAACAGCTGAGCGGCTTGCGTGGTGAATAGCTAATAATTTGAAATTCAGGCGGGATAATATATTCGTTTTCAAAATATTATTATTTAACTGAAAACTAAACTTATTAGTTGTCCCATTTAATACATACATACAAATTCATTTTATATAAATTTCAATGTTTCTTTAAAAATTTGATTGCTTAAAAAATGTGTAATCTTAGAAACCTAACATATGATTAACACAGTTAACAGCAGTGTTCTTAAGAGCTTTAAAAGTCCATTGGCACTGGACGATAGTGTCGATCGATGGGCAAAATACAGGAACTATCGGCTCACGCAGAAATGCCAGGACCATCAAGTGGATAAGATATCGACAGTTGGCAACAATCGATCGAGATGGAGAAAGAAAGGAAAGTACGGAATGGATGATGAATAACGGCGTTGAAGCAAGAACCTTCACGTGAACGATAACGGCGGGAGATTTGAAAAAAAAAATTAAAACAGCTAGCTTCGTTAACGAAGAACTGGAACTGCCAGAGGAATTACTCACAAACACAGGTAGACACGCAACATACACGCACACATATGACGCACACTCTCTCCACTCTCTTTCTCTCTTACTCTCTCCAATTCTTACTCTCACTGCTTTTTTAGGGTGGAAATTGCGTTAATTTTAGTACGAAAATGCCGGTCTCGATGCCAACGCACAGTCGCTGTTCGCAGTCAAAGCCGTTTTGTTGTGTCGCGCTCTCGAGGTAAAATAAATCGTGTTTTACGTGCAAAGGCGGTGAGACTAGATAAACCGAATTAATCATCCAAACTGCATTCCCAACCTTGCTTTCCAAAACGAGAAAAAGCATTGGTACAATTTCCAGAAAAACTGCAACTCTGCAACTGCGTATTTCATTGCCACGCGTCGTGAGTTGATGACGAAGTCGTGAAAATTGGCACGCGTCAAGGCGTCACTATAAAAATTGTGTTCCCTATTAGGAAGCTACACACGTCACGTCCAGCCCAAGTCCCCCCACTTTAAAGCTCAATGTTGTGAATCAAAGATAGTGGTGTCAGGAAGCACAATTAAAGTTTATGTCTAACGGTGGAAGATTAGTTTGGTGCCAGCGAAGCAAAAATCGGGTCTTCAAATAGCAATTAGTGACTAGCAACAAGAAAAGACACTAGCATTTGTTTACAATTTGCGCAACACGTGTTGAAGTCTCATTTGGTGATAGTAAGGGTTAACACATTTAAACTTTTACTTTTCATTCCAGTGGCAATGTGCGGTACTCAGCAGTAGAGGATAAGCAGAATCCCACAGTCCAGCCATCATGACGGACAGATATGCCAATGGAGTGACCACTAGCCTGGTCGAGCCCACTAATGGATGCGCTGCCTCGGAAAAGGCCGGCGATGGAGAGGAGAAGATTGTCCTCAAACGGAAGCTAACACTCATCAATGGAGTGGCCATTATAGTGGGCACCATCATCGGATCGGGCATCTTCATCGCTCCCACGGGAGTCTTTTTTTACACTGAGTGAGTGGGGCCTTTGCCCACAAATGCATATGTACTGTACATAGTGTGCTCCTTAATTCAATTTATTCACAAAAAGGTCAATTTAACTGTTAATTAATGGATAGATTGTCGCAAACATTCCTTTAGCACCAATTAAGATACATTTATTAGTTCTCGATGTTCCCTCAAAGATTCGCCCTTGAAATTCTGCGCACATATTGCGTCAGCTTTTGAGTGTTTTTAAGCGAATCGTCTTCAGTTACAAGAAAAACGTCAATAAGGCGCGCCAAACATTTAAATTATTGATAAGAACCAGGAATAAGGTATGCGTCATAAGCTTAAGCCAACTGGAAAAGTTCCAGGAAGTTAATTCACGCACATGGTTTTTATTCATATCTTGTTTATTTTCAATGACTTATGAATATAGCTAAGTTAATATTATATATCTTAGTCTCTAATGGTTGTATTGTAAATTGGTACTTGCATATACTAAGATGGTAATATATCCTAATTTATAGTGTATATTTTTATATAAACATTTTGATAGCAATACTAAAGCAAATATTTACATATATGTATGTAGTTCTTGGTCATATTTGTTTATATGTATATTTTTACTGAAATTGTTTATTTACCCATTTTGACTTCAATGAATTATTTCAGATCCGTGGGAAGCTCCCTCTTGATTTGGCTGACCTGTGGCATTTTGTCGACAATCGGAGCTCTTTGCTACGCAGAACTGGGAACATGCATCACGAGATCTGGCGGGGATTACGCGTATCTGCTGGTGTCCTTTGGGCCGCTGGTGGGATTCCTACGGCTCTGGATCGCACTGCTCATCATCCGGCCAACCACGCAGGTCAGTTCCTAAGGCACATGAAGGCAATTGAATTACGGAATGTTTTGATTGCCTTGATTGATGGATGGGTTGTTGATGCAAATAAATAGAAATTTATTAAGGGGCGGCTACCTTCGACCGGAATTGAATTCAATTACGAGGAGACCAACTTGCTCCACTAGAAACAAATAGAATAGCACTTATAGTTTGAGTACTTTATTTTCAGACCATTGTGGCTCTAACTTTTGCCCATTATGCGGTCAAACCGTTCTTTCCGGAATGCGATCCCCCACAGAATGCGGTAAAACTGCTGGCTGCCATATGTCTAAGTAAGTCAGTTAAACAATGCAATCGCCATTATTAATTCAAATTATTCCCAGCTCTGCTGACCACAATCAACTGCCTGTCTGTGAAGGTGTCCATGAAGGTGCAGGATGTGTTCACGGTCGGCAAGCTGCTGGCCCTCATCATGATTATCCTGGCCGGACTGTACTACATGGCCACCGGCGAGTTGGACAACTTCAGCAATCCGTGGGAGGGCATCTACACTACCCGCAACATTGGCTACGCCTTCTACTCCGGTCTGTTTGCCTTCGGCGGCTGGAATTACTTGAACTTTGTGACGGAGGAGCTGCAGGATCCATACAAGTGAGCAGTGCTGACAAAGACAAATGGCTGCCAGAGTGGAGTGGGTGGGTCTTGTTAGCCCCATTCATTCCTTTTGCGTCATGCGCAGGCAGCAACAAGTGAAAACTTGTTGAGCGTCCTTGATGTCATGGCTCCCAGAATACTACCCGGTGGGTGGGATGCTGCCTCATCCCTAACGAATTCAATTTGCAATCAATTTAAGTGCTCTGCCAAGTGGCTTTTTTCGCTGAACAGCACGTTCTTCCTTACACAGAAAAAAATTACAAGTAAACGCCATGTGAAATCTTAATTCTAATTTCCAGTATAGCCATTAGATTAGTAAACTTTTTCTAAGAGCTTTTAATGGATTAGTTTCGAATGGAATAGTTTCGTAACATGGAATCTGTAATAGTGATTCACACTTTATGCAGTCGTAGCTTATTACTCACTACCGATGGTAAAGACAGCAGTTTTTAAACAGAATTCCATGATGAATAAATCATGTCGATACAAGCAGTTATTAATCTGAAATGGATACTCGCTTGGCGTTTCTACAATGGAAACCTCTGGTGGTCAAGCATCGCGAGATGCACCTGATTACCAAGTACTCGTCGGGCAAGGAGCTGGGATGGCATACGACTGAGATATTCAACAGGTCCGCTTCACACTGAATTAACGTAAGCTGTTCGCCAGGTAGGGATCTGAACACTAAAAGTATTTCCTATGCTAATGGGCAAAAGTTTAGGAGTTTCTTAAAGGGATAACTTCTAACAACGAAGAATACCAAATGCATTTCGTAGTAGTTAACAAATGATTTACTTTGCTATGCTATTATAGATCTCCCTCTATCTTTTCTCATTCGGCAGGAACCTGCCGCGCGCTATTTGGATAGCCATGCCCCTGGTCACGGGCATCTATGTTCTGGTTAATTTGGCCTACTTCGCGGTGGTGAACAAACCGGAGATGCTCAGTTCATTGGCCGTGGCGGTGACCTTTGGGAACCGTGTGTTCGGACCGCTGGCCTTCATGGTGCCCATTTTCGTTGCACTGAGCACATTTGGAGGCGTCAACGGAGTGCTCTTCACCTCGGCCCGCCTGTTTGCCACTGGAGCTCAGGAGGGGCATTTGCCCAAGTTTTTCCAGCTGTTCCACGTGAAGCAACAGACTCCCATTCCCTCCCTGATTTTCACAGTGAGTTGGCACTAGCATCTAAAGTCGTGCATTGATATTACCGCATTTTCCCACAGTGTCTGATGTCTCTGCTCATGCTGCTCACGGATAACGTCTACCAGTTGATCAACTACTTCAGCTCGGTGCTCTGGCTCTCAGTGGTGGCCAGCATAGCAGGAATGTTGTGGCTCCGGCATAAGAGGTGGGTGATACAAGTTACCTGTTGTTAAATAGGATTGAGTGACCCAATGTGTATTCCTTCCAGGCCCGACTTGCCCAGACCCATTAAAGTCCATATTGCGCTGCCCATTATCTTCATGGTGAGCTGCGTGACACTGGTACTCCTGCCGAATCTGGAGGAGCCGCAAAATCTGCTGATTGGCATCGGCATAACATTGGCCGGCATTCCGTTCTACTACGCCTTCATCGCCTGGAAAAATAAGCCCAAATGCTACGGACGATTGTCCAACTCCGTAGTGGAGATTTGCCGGGCCATCTTCAATACCACCATTATCGAATCGAATGAGGCAATTAACTAGGCCTACATACATATGTACCACACACGTAGAACTCGAGCATTTAGTTCAAAAACCGTCGTAATTGATACTCGAAAACACGGAAAGCTTGTTAAATTTTAAACAGTTTTGAGTAAGCCCCTGTCCCGTTTGTATGATATTTTAGCATTCCTCACCACCAAATTGGCATATATTAGAATTTAGTTTTATCGTACGTACGTATTTATTTGAGCAAGCCCCTTAGTTAACAGGTTTTACAAAACCCCAGCCTTTTTGGCCTACTTCCCACTACAGTTTACTTCCGACTCTATGGTCAGGTGCAGCAATCCGAATTCCTATTTTACACAATCAGGAAGTCATTGAAAGCGCTTATATGGGAACAAAAACTACAAAATGTGACATGTTTAGGGAAGCTACACAGCAGTACAATAAGGAACATATAACATTAATATGTTTAACTTAACCGCTTAGCAAATAAATGTATTAATGCAATCTCGTTACTTTGAAATTTCAAAAGGACTGCAAAAAAGGACTCTTCTAAGATCTTGAGGGGTTTTGAAAGGATCCCCATCTACATATAAATTTTACGGGCATTATATTCAATAGCAGTTTCCACAAGGGTAGTGCCCCTTATGAAATCCGCCGATACTATATTCGCATTCGTGCCCAGTTCATTCCGGTATAGCTGAGAGATCCGCCAATTCACGTTATCGGCCATCTTGCGCAGTCCACCGGTCTTGTCCAAAATGACGTCCCAGGTCTCCGGGGTCAGCTCCGCCATATCGGACACCGGCCGACTGGAGAACCGACTGCGGGAGTAAGAAACGATAGATGTTCCATCTTATCTAATCATTAAGGTGTATCTCCACTTACGACACATCGAAGTCATTTATGTTGCGCAAATAGGTCTCCAGTTGGGCCCACGTCTGCTTGTTTCCCCAGCGCTGCTCCACGGACCCGAACAGGATATCTGGAAACTCCTCCACCATGGCCTCATGGTCGTAGGCGAGGAAGACGTTCTGCCGCCGGGCCCAAATGTCCCTCAGGGATGCGCGCCAAGTGAGCGAAGGATGGGCTATCAGATCCTGGAACTGATCCCGCAAATAGCTGATCAGCAGGCGGTGAACAGCAAGTCCCTTCCCAAAACCTAAAGAAAAATGAAATATATAACGCTCAAATATGTGGGCTGCATGCACATATCCAAGGGTAAGCGCAATCCTTACCCACTGGGAACTCCTTGAGTCCAAAAATGACAATCTCGTTGGTTTCGTAGATGAAGTCCCGAACCTGGTTGATAACTTCCTGCAGGGGACGTTGCTTTGTGATCCCGTGATAGATGAAGAACCGATCGTGCGAGCTGCGGTAGTAGCCCACGCGTATGTCCAAGTAGCGGACTCCATGCATCAACTGTCCCCGGATGTCGTCGTCCTGTGTGAGAGCATACTTGGTCACCAGACTCTCTCGAACCAGCGGATCGAAGTTGGGCCGATATGAGCCGGAGTCGTGGCTGCCAGGAATGAAGAGATCTCGCAGGCGCATCTCTCCTATCTTGGACTTCAGATTGTTCATCCAACGGGGGAATGCTCTGAGGCAGGTTTTGGCCAGGATATTGCCCTGCGCATTGATGTAGCTGGCCCAAAAGCCGTAGCAGCCAGTTTGTACCGTCACATTCTGGGACAAGGCATAATCAAATGGTAATCCTGTGGTGAACCACTGGGTATTCAGACCCTTTCGTGGCTCAATGGCAGCCACAACCTCGGTGGCTCCTCCATTGGCCACCCAGTACTTCTGCTCCACCTCACTGGTGTCCGATTTGGTCTCCGGCCTTGCGGTGAACCCACTGATGGGCATGTAGCTGGGGGAGCCATCGTCCTGGCCACTGCCCTCCTCGTTGCGAAAGGCCGCCAGCGGAGTGTGTTTGGGCAGGAGTTGGGTTTGGAAGCTGAGTGCATCCTCCCTCGTCACCAGCAGCTGGTCACCCTGGTTCGCCGGTGCATTGCTCCACGAGACCTCCACGAACCGCTTGCGGGCACTGATGGTCAGCCACACCTTGAGCTTGTTGGGATCCTCGTAGGATTCGGTCAGTGCCTGGCCCTCCTCCGACCAGAAGGCGACCAGGAGCATCGCCAGTGCAAGGCGTACAACTTTTCCCACCATATCGCACTGATTGAATTACCCGGGCTGATTTGCGGTGATTGCAACTGACGCTAATCGGCGTTTCTGAATCAGAGCGGTAATATAAACACGACACCCCGAGAGATCAGAACAGATCAGATCAACCGTTCGCGCCGAGAGCTCCACACTCAATGAGCTGCGACCCAGGCCCCAAATAACGTTGGCCCAGGTAGATCTTATCTATGTATATGCTTATTAGGGGGCTCCAGTTGTAAAGGAAAATGGGAACCCGGCACGGGGGAGCTAAGCAAGGGTCTGTGTAAATTAAGCTTAATTTCTATTTACTTCGGGGTTCCCAGTAATTAGTGCTTATGCTAACCGGAGGATTAGGTTTCAACATTTACAGTGACTGCGTAAACAGAACACTTGACTGCGATCCGGAACCGATAAGATTTTGAACAATAGTGGGTGGGCAGATCCACAGTAATGTGCCAATTATAGAAACTTATTTATTCGCACTCGACTTTAATTGGCAGTGTAATGTTCGTTGGCCTTTGGTAACTCTGAACACAAATATGTAGATTCACGGAGGTTGAGTAAGCGTACTAGGGAGTTAAACAATAGATGCGTTTTGATTTGATTTAACTCCGCGCCGACTAATAAATTAATGCAAAAGCGACCGATCTGTACGTTACTGACATTCCGAATCCAACGTCGCCTCTCAACTGAAGCTCAAATGCGCGGACAGAACCGAGCAGAGCTTATTAAATTGGCTCTATAATTTGTTTAACTCTTTCAATTTCCCTGTAAAGCGCTGATATTTGAGTGTCAAAACAAACCAATTCCTGTGAGGGTTGCTTCATGTTCTGTAAAGTGCATTGGCTTATTTTAGGTAAAATTTGTAAATCTAACACTTTTTGTATAGTGCACTTTTTTGAAATATAGTTTTTTAGAAGCTAGAAAATAAGTTTTTAAACTATCTAGTCTTAAATTCACTTTAATAATTAATTATTGCAACCAAACGTAAAAACTCTTTCAAATTCCCATTTTTAAAGTAACGGGCGAAAATACTAGTCAGTATTTTAATACACCGAACCGCTTGTTGGTCACACTGCTGAACAGCTGTTCTGGCGTTCTATTGCAAAACATTTAATAATTTTGTTTATATCGAGTGTTTGTATTATCTAAGCTGCAGAAATGCTGCACTCACAGGCAATGCCATCGATACCCACTCTGCACCAGCCGCTGCACTCCAAGGTATCGAATTATCTGAACAACCAGCGAAGAACCGGACAATTCTGTGACCTGCTCCTGGAACTGGATTCGGATGATTCCCTCAGTTTGAGCGTCCATTTCTGCGTGTTGGCTGCGCAGAGCCAGTTCATAAACACCAACCAGAAGCAGCAGCAGTTCTCCATTCACAACCCGCTGAAGATCACCATCCGGAATTTCAGCTGCACCCAATGCCTGCACACAATTGTGGACTTCTTCTACGAGGATTTGGTGTCCGTGTCCAAGGAGCACGAGCTGCACTTTCGGGAGCTGGCGCAAATCCTGGCTGTCACCGAACTACTGAATCTCTACCAATTGCAGCCCTTGGGCGAGGTCAAGGAAACAACAGAGATCTCGGCCCTTGGAGAGACGCAAACAAATCCCGAGCTGGCTAAGAAAGCGGAGGCTGTGTTTGAAAATCGACAAAGTTACTTCAAGGTGGATAATATGTCATAGAGCCACTCCTGTAACTTATATTCGCCTTTTCCTTAAAGCTTAAGAATCCACGGGCAGTGAAGTCCAGCAGCAAAGTGAACTACTGCATAGGCTGCGACTACAAGTGCTACCAGGTGCAGAAAATGATCGAGCACATGGGCATCTGTGAGCCCTCCCATTTGACCTGCTCGCTGTGCGAAGTGGGCTTCCTGGACTGGAGGGAATACGACACTCACCTTCGCCGGCACTCTGGTGATCTGCGTAAGCCCTTCTTTTGCTTGCAGTGCGGCATCCGCTTCAACACCCGCGCTGCCCTGCTCGTCCATCAGCCCAAGCATTCCACGGAAACGCCGCACATTTGTCCACATTGCGGCAAGGGCTTCAAGTGGAAGCAGGGCCTGAGCAACCACATCCTGGTCCACAATCCCGAGAAGCAAATGCTCTGTGACGTCTGCGGCTACAGCACCACGCATATGAAGGCCCTCAAGTCCCACAAACTGCTTCACACCGGCGAATTCTTTGCGTGCACAGTTTCAGGCTGCAAGCATCGGGCCAATCGCAAGGAGAACCTCAAGCTGCACATTGAAACGCACAAGCAGGGTCGTGACTTTATCTGCGAGATCTGCGGCTGCAAGTTCAGCCAGAGCAAAAACCTCAAGCGTCACGCCTTGAAGCACACGGAGAATGGTCCGAACCGCTACAAGTGCCAGCTGTGTGGATTCAGTAGTCATCGCTCCGACAAAATGAAAGAGCACGTGCAGCGGGTTCACACGGAGAAAGCGGTGCAATTGGAGCTCTCGGAGACTGTGGATAGCAGCTTTCCCGATGACTTTGATCTTCCCGTGATCGACACGTCACCCAAGAAGAAAGCAAAGGATGTTAAGAGCAAGACTAAAAGGGATGTGAATCCTGACAAGCGACTGAAAACATTACTGCCCAAGAAGACTGTTGAATAGGAATAATATGGAAGGTTACTATTGCAACCTTCTAAAAAGAGATTTGTGAAAACCAACATTCATACATATATATTAGCTACAGAAAAAGACATTGTAAGACATATACGAATTGTAAATAGTTATGATAACTTGGTTAACAAGAAAAATGTGTATAATTTCAAAATGAGTAGAGGGATCTCATGTTCTGAGCTATAATACAACAAAGTGTTATCTAGAATATTCACGGCAACCCAATTTTTTTTTGAAGCCGTAAAAAAAGAACCATCGAGAAATTTAAAAATTGATTTGCTACCAATGAGCAAGGTGGTATGTATGTATATTGTGGAAGGTTCTTAATACAACATTGTTGAGGCCGTTCTATCTTATCTAAGAAGGTGACTACGATCTATTGCGTCGTTTCCAGACAAACTTCCAGAACGAATACCTGCCTATACTAACAAAAGCGATAGTTAGCATCTTATCAACGCCAGAAGGCTGCGTAACATTTGTTTATATAAAACCCATTAAACCAAAACAAACTGAAAGCTTTTCGCCTTTCAAAAATAAACAAATGCGTTGCTGGTGGGAGGGAGAACTGGGTCAACCGATCAGGTTCTAATGCACCAAAATAAATGTCCATTATTGGCAGTTAGTAAATATGGTCGACATCATTTCAAAACTATTTCCTTTGTTATAATAATATAGCAAATGGTTTCCGGTTTCCTCACGTTTTATTAAAAAATATTTTTGAGTTCTCAAAGAAAACTTATTTTGAGCAGTGTATTGATCCAGAACTAATTTACTGCATTTAATTCTATATTAAGTGGAGAAACAAATGCAGGGTAACTGCACTTTGGGGGTCGTTTTTTGAGGGCCAAGGTGGGCGGGTGTTACATAACGTGTGTATTCTGAAATTTTCTTTAAATATTAAAATTAATGGACGAGGCGAAATAATATGTTTGCCGATTTCTGTTCTTTTTTTGTTTAGCGCGCACTTTGTAAACAGCAAAAAATTAAATTGCGCAGCAAAAATTGTTGAAAATGCGCTCTCACAAGCGCAAAGGGTTGTCAGGGTGAGTAACTATGAATTTTAATCACAAAAAAGACTTTTATATATAAATGGATTAGCCTATTTGTTAAAAGTTCAGTAGAAAGTATTGACAAAATTAAATATGCTTAGTAACTATAGGTTAACAACAATTGAATGCCTTTCTAGTAGTTTCTAAAGCAAAATCCGGCAACTCTGGCGGAGAGCGAGCTTTTGGTGCGTAAGAAAAAGCTTTACCGCCTATAAAAGCCGATGCTCGGCCGAAAAAACTTCAATTCCGTTCGCAGCTCAGCGAAAAGTGAACCAAAAAAAGCGCAGCAAAGAAATCTAGAAAGCAGCCTGCAAATTTGCAGAGAAACAAAAAGCAGAGAATCAGCCAAGAACGCAGTTAGTTTTGCAACCTCAAATCGCCATTATGTCCGAGGCCCACTTCGATGAGTACGAGCACTACAACTTCGACCATGACAAGCACATCTTCTCCGGACACAGCGGCAAGCAGCGCAACAAGAGGGAGGCCAATGAGCACACCAACCACTTCGATCCCTCTGGTCACTCCCGCAAGATTTTGACCAAGCTGATGAACACCAACAACAACAAGAAGGCCGCCGCCTGCAAGAACTGATGCAGGGCATCCACGGAGGCGGTGGAGCAGGAGAGAACGAAGTAACGGGGACACGTTGAAAGGAGAAAAGAAATCTTCGAATTTAAAAGGAAAGCAAGAGCAAAGGAGAGAAGAAGGATAAGAAAAAGCAAACGGCAGCAGTTTTGCTGAAAGGAAAGAGAGAAAAACAAAAGCCAGCTGGAAATACACATTGCATTTGTATTGTGCATTGGCTTTTCATGCGGCGCTAAACTTTGTGAACATTATAATAATTTTATTTCGCTTATAATTTCACAAACACAAAAAAAAAGAAAGGCACATACTACACTTAGCTTCTAATATATTCCTAAACTAATTCAGACTTGCAAGTTTTAGTTGCTAAGCCTTAGAGCGTTTCAAATTATGAAGTTTGATTTAGGCATTACTTTTAAAATAAAGAGAAAACCAAAACTGAATCCCATGGTGCGTCTTCTTATTTTTATTTTCATTTGCATTTGCAGCTCACCTTTCCAAGCGAGAGAGAGAGAGCTCTTCCAATAATTTCCAATGCCGTTGGTGTGCTGGCGCGCATATTTATAGCCTTTTAGTTGAACTCATTTGCACTCAGCTCCGCGATTATCGCGAATGCAGTTGCAGGCCACTTTTTTCTTTGTTTATAGCGATCAACAAAAAAGAAAACATGTATGTATGTACATAAATATTTGTATGTACATGCCGCTTGACATTTACATACCTAGTTTCCAAACGGAAATATTCCCGAGACCTTCCATTGAAAGTTCACCAGTTACACAGGTAAATAAGCACGCACACACATATGCAAGCAACATTTCTTCCGGTTTCCATTTTGCGTGTGAGGTTGCATTCATGAATATTGGGCAGCTTTTTATTGACTTTTCAAACTAAAAGGTATTTTTACATTGGGTGTTCAAAATTACAAAAGCTGTGTTATTTTCCACTCACAAACAAACAACCACAAACGCAGAAACAAGCACACTTACAAAAATAAAACGAACAAACTTTTCCAGAAAGGTCCACTCTAATGGAATTCTCTTTTCTCTCTCCCTCTCTGTCTCTCTCTCTATTTACGCCATTTGCCGGCTTTTTGAATTGCGTTGTGGATATTTGGTAAACAATAAAACAGACGCGATCAGGTGGTTTTGCTATACTGAATATTAATGAAAAATTTCAAACACTTCGGCAACCGAAATTCCAAGATGTTTAATTTCGCATTTGGAAAGTCATAAATATTCCTTATCTTAATTAAAATTGCATTTTTTTTATGAAATATCTGTTCTTTTTTTTTATAAAATTATTAAACATTGCAAGTATATTGTGCGTTAAAAGTGTCTTAGAATCGTTTTCATCTGCTGGTAGTGTTATTAAATAGGTTTCTAAAATAAAAATACTTGATCATAAATCTAACATTACAAAAATTAAACAAAATCGAGCGATTAACATTATCGCGTCGGTTTAAAACAAAGCAATATCAACAGAACATTTACAATCAGAGCTTTTTATAGGAGACAGTAAGTCTTAAAAATGAGTAAACAATTTTGGGGGTAACGAAACTAGTTTGCCACGCTGCGTTTCGCCGGTAAACAAATGACGCATTAGTAGTTCAGTAAGATCTAGAAATCATTTATACATATATACATACCGTATTGTATATTTACATACATATTTAAATACATTGTAAATGTATATAAATGGAAGATTAGAAGGTAACTTGTTCATGGAATATATATATTTAGAACTAATAAATAGGTTCAGTAATTATGCGAATTCGAGGACGATTGCATTAACTTAGTTGTGCGCTTAGCATGAAATACTTCATTTGCTTTCAAATTAAAGTATAAAACTGAGAATATTGGCTTACTTTCCTGAGATATGACTCCAAATAGCTTTAAAAAGAAATAATGTAGTTTTAATTGGTTGGTATTTAGTTATTATTTTTTTTTTTTTAGAGAGAGAACATTAAACTAAAAAGTGTAAGTAATACAACTAATTAGTAAGTACATAAGAGATTCCAAAATGATTTTCTCTGGTTTTGGCCATTCTGTGACACAAATTGTTAGTCACAAACTCAATCTTAAATAGAACTGGTTGTTAAAAATTTTCAAAAAAGTGTTATCTACAGATTACATATCGTTTAGATCTCACCAATGTACAAATACCCCATTGATGTTGACCAAACGTATCTTAATTGGGGAAATGGATTTCTTTCCGAGCCCATAATGAAAGTGGCACGCTTGCCACGATCCAACTATCCAACTATGGTCATGTATGCAGCTTCCTAGATCGTGATCTTCGCCTGGCACACGACAGACGATGGACCTCGATGGCGGAGCACTATGCTCCAGCGACACGGAGCCATTCCAATTACGACTTCCTAAATTCCACAGTTCATCTTCTGGGAAGAGAATCATATTGCACACTTTCACCGCGAAAAAAACGAATTTGTGGTAAACAACAGAATCGGGGATTATGCATAACTGAATGGAGATGGAACCCAGCCAGCATCGGATGGGATCGTAGTACTGGCTACATGGAGATATGGATGGTGCTAATTGCCGCGGCACAGGGTGGCGGATGAACCGTTAAATCGAAACTGGAGCACTGGCCCAATAACGATGATGCACGCGGCCCGCGGATTAGCACCTTCCAACGAGCCACTACAGATGGATGTTCTAGATACCCAAATGCCGCCATTAGCACCATCGCCGGGCGTAGTTTTTCTGGAGCAGCATTTGGGGATCTTCGGTTAGTTGTCGACTTAACTCCAAGCCAACTGGCCGTGCGGTGTGTGCTGAACAGGATTCGGAACAATAGAAACAAGAGTGCCAAACGGATAATGTCTGCATACAAGGAAATTCCGGCGAAGGCGCCACAACGCCTCTCACCCATTTGGTTTCTGGTGATCACGTTCCTACTCTTTGCCACCACCTTAACGGCGCTGGCTGTGATCGAAGCTGGACGGGCACAGAGCCACGCTGGCGGAGAAAGCGATCTCCTAATCCTCACACGCATGTGGAATCACTTTAGGGCCGGTGCTGAAAATGATACGGAAACTGCCACGGTGGAGCGAATTGCTAGGGATGCTGGAAATGCAACCAATCCGAGTGCATCCGCAGCGCAGCAGGGCAGAAACTTCTACGAGGAGCAGCAGGCGGTGGTGGTGAATGCGGAGAGCATGGATTCTCCCGTGATGGGACAACGCCAAGACGCCTACGGTCCGCCGCAGAGTCGCGAGGATTCCTACGAGCAGGATCCGTACTACGATGTGGCCGATGACTACGGACCTGGACGCTATCCAAGTGCAGAGTCCAGGCCAGAGTCCGAAGAGGAGGAACACTTCTATGATAAGGAAGACACGGGTGAGGGCAGGGCCCATCAGGCACGTCCCTACGACTCCTTCTACGCTCCCTGGTCACACACACAGCAGCCAGCTCCAGTGGCTACTCATCCCGCGGCTGAGGGCAACAATCGGAAGCTCCAGGCGCCTTCAGCTCCCAATAGGTGAGAGATACTTCATCAAACTAGATCTGGGTCATTGGTGTTGGATAAGATGGGGAAATACACTTCCAATGGATATGAGTTTTTCTTTTTAAGCCACTAAGTTCGTTCATTTCTACAGATCACCCTATCCCGCCTACGATGAGGTGTACGATTATCCCATGGGCTTCCAGCCGCGCCCTCACCCGAAAACAGAGTTAGCCAAACAATCTCAGCCCGCCTCCGACAATGCAGTAATTCAAGTGCAAAGTGAATCCACCCTGGTCACCGTGCTGAAGAGCCTCAAGCAGATCTGGGATCTATATCAGGCACTGATGAGTGCCTGGAACGCGGTCAGCGAACGCCATCAGGAAAGCACTGAGAAGTTCCGCCAGGAGCAGGCGGCAAAGAAGGCGGAGAAGGAGCAACTGCGTCAGCAGCAGCAGAAGACCAGGATAAACTCCAAGAAACCACCGCGTATGGAGGGCAACAAAAAGAACCAGAACAAGAAGCCGCCCACGACGACAACTAAGTCAAGCACCAAGTCTACGACGACAGCTGCCCCAGAGGTCTCTGATGAGGAGGAGGATGCTAAGGAGCAACCGCAGAAGACAGTGGAGAAAGTTGAGACAGTCACGCCATCGGCTACAGACACCAAAGTCTCGGCACTCAAGGGGGAAAAGGGAAACCTGAGATCTGTGCGTGGACTGCGCCAAAGACGCGATGCCGAGGCGGAGGAGAAGGCCGACACGGATGTGGGCGAGGGCCGCTATATCAAGGGTGATCCTCTCAAGGGCTACTACGATTTCGTCATTACGGAGGGCTCCTACAAGTTCTGGGCCGTCTTTCAGGTGAGTGGTCATAAGGAGCGGACGAAACACAAGTGTAATGTGTAGTATAACATAAATGCTTTAAATGTATAACCTGCAGGTGGGCACAGCACTGCTGATCATCTACTCGACGTTCGCTGCCATTTACTACTCCAAGGTGAATCCGCTGACCAGTGACTACGATTACACGGATTACCTGGGCGGAGTTCGTTCCTTGTCCGGCGGAGATGCGGATTTCGTGGACGACGGCGATGCAGCGACTCCGCCCGTTTCGACCACCTCCCGCATCATGGAGTGGCTGCCACGGACGGCGCACTCCATCCAGTTTATACTGGATGCCATCGACAAGGTGCCAGTGGATCATGACAAGGACAAGGAGCTCGGATGGTCCGCGGCCAAAACGGACACTCCGGCGGTGGGAATGAGATAGGGAACTGACTACCATATGCGATATTTGTTAATATAATAATGTTGAAGATAAGCTGGAAGATGAGTTTAATTTGTTGGAGCACGGGACTTTAAAATAGTTACTTAGTCACAAAGTACTCTTCTTTTTTGGATCTTTATACAGATTTTTTATTGACTGTACTCATAGCCGTGAAAGACCATTAAATCTACATCTACTAAATCTACTTAAAAACTATTAAATCTACACTAAGCACGTATAAATTTGTTTTGATAATTTAAGTTTGAAGAATTTATTTTAGTAATTTATTTATAAATATGAAAAAGCTAGTTTTAAATTCGAAAATGAGATCACAAATAATCTAAATTCAAAAAATTGCCAGTGCTGTCGGCTGCAACGGTATTTTTCAATTTTTAGCTATTTTCAAGCTGAAATACTCTTCTTCTTTCGCAGTCACCATTCACAGTGCAGCGGCGACAGTCAACATCTGTTTCTTATTTTTTGAGAAAAACAACACGTAGCATTTGCAATTATTATTATATTGTCACGAAAATACTCATGTAAAGAAATCGCTACTTTAAGCACGAAAATGGCAAAGTCCTACGTGATAGTTGCGAGAACAGCATTGCTGCTGAATTTGATAATTGCAGCGGCGTCCCACGAAGCCAAAGATTTTGACGATTCAATTTTGTATAAAATTGATTTCGAACTGCCGGAGTTAATGGGCCAGCCAGTGAGTACAAATTTATGAATGCAAACATAAGCAAATGTCTTCAAAAACTGGTGTTTAGGACTTGAGAAATCAGCTAAGAACATTCTACACAGCGGATAAAGAGAAGTACGAGTGCCTGATTCCCACTTTGGAGCACCAGAAGGAGGAGGAAAAGTCCGACAAGTCAGAGTTGTGTAAGAAATTGGCTTTGCAACATACATATGTATATTCCTTTAATCCCAAATTTTGAATTTACATAGCTCCGATTACACTGCTGCAGCCCATTTTCTCCGCCCTCACCTGCACGTACCGCATCGAGGCCTACTGGTCGTACGAGATCTGCCATGGCCACCATGTGCGCCAGTATCACGAGGAGCGCGAGGGAAAGAACGTCAAGTTCCAGGAGTACTACCTGGGCAAGTGGACCGATGACAATATGGAAATACTGACCAAAGCCTGGAAAGCGGACGTCAAGGCGGGCGTTAAGCCGAAATACAAGAGCCTGAAGATCGACAACATTAAGTATCCATACTTTGAGATGGAATACAGCAATGGCACCATGTGCGACATAATTAACGCTCCCCGAACCACAATGGTGCGCTATGTGTGCTATCCCCATGGCAAGGACGACATCTACTCCTTCAAGGAGACATCCTCGTGCAATTACGAGGCCATTATCCTTTCCTCGACACTGTGCGCCATTCGCGGCTTTCATGCCGAAGAGACCAAGGAACTGTCCATACAATGTTTCAACTCCGAATCGGAGCCGCACAGGCCACTGAGCATGCTGCGATCGGAGCTGAGGGAATGGGCTGAATCCGAGGCGAACTTACTGGTATCCAAGGAAAAGGCCAAAGCCAACCTGTGGCCCCAGTCGGATGGCGATTTAGTCACCTTGCAGTACGGCAGGGTTATGGACAAACTCATACTCGAGCTGTTCAGTAATGGTGACCTGGAGGTAGACGGAGACTATCAGCAACTCCTGCTGTCTGGAGCGGTCTCTGGAACAGGACCCACTCCCATTGCTGATCTAACGCCCATAAAGGACTTTATTTCTGGCAAGAACTGCCTTATTGGGGTAAGAATATCATTCAGCTAACCAATGATTTTGGTTCAATAATACTCTGTTTTAGGGCAATGGCTGGTGGAAGTACGAGTTCTGCTACGGGCGACATGTACGCCAGTTCCACAAGGACAAGACTAGTGAAGTGGAGCTCTTTCTTGGCTACTTCTCAGAGGAAGCGCATCGCGCTTGGTCCAACGCCAACCCGGATAAGGGAGCGCGCCGTCCCGGCTTCACGACTTCCGTCTGGCACCATTATGAAAAGGGAACCCACTGCGAGCAGATTGGAATGCCCCGCGAAGTGGACGTGAAGTTGACCTGCACACCTGTGACCAACAGCGGCACCGCTGTATCCATGTACCTTCTTGAGCCGAAGACGTGCCAGTACATCCTGGTCGTGGAGTCGCCCACAATATGTGATCTCATGCACTATGCTGATTCCCAGGGCCTGGTGAAGCTAGAGAATCTGGACAAGATCTTGGATACGGAAACCGATAAATCGACAACTAAATCGGATTCTGCTTCTGCTCCTGCTCCCGCTCCTGTTCCCGCTCCTACTTCCAACCCAGAGGAGGAAATCCGCTCTTAGGCTGTGCGTGTATTCTAGTGAATTACTTTTAAATGTATTGATTGTAATTTTACAAACTTGCTTGTGTTTCAAATATTTAAGGGGCTTGATTTCGCAGGTGCATACGTTTTTGTGTAACTGGCAAGCTACAGCTGTTAGCAAGTGCATATAGCAGCGGATGAAATTATAGTACCGCGCTCTTAAAAGAGAAATTAAAAAAGACTCGTGCAAATGAAACCGATCTTAAAATTTAAGAACCCAAGCTCACTGATAGATTGACTAGAATAATTAGCTTAATAAATTTAAACCAAAGTTTAAATTCATGACTATTCAAGACTTGTACTAGATTTGTGAACATGGTTTCTCCCAAATTGCTCATCAAAATGCATTTTTTAAGCCCGGCCTTACCCCAAACAAATTTAATTTAAGTTTTTGCTTAGTTTTGCTAAATCAAGAGAATAATTTCGGAATTAAGTTAAATCAACTTTTAACACTATTCACATACAGCTCTACCAACTGCTCTTCTTCTTCTGCGATGAGCATTCCCAGCGCAGTATTACTCCATACCTATCGTTTTTCGATGTCGTGTGCGCTCAGCAGGCTGATGTACAATAGAATCTAAGTTTCTCGAGTTCTAACTGAGAATAGAACAAACAACGTTTCATATTTGCCAAATTCACAGCATTGTTAAGTTTTGAAAAAGTGTAAGTTCCGTTCGCTGGATGCAGTGCGTCACTTGCCGGCCAGTTGGGGGTGTGAAAAATCAATTGGGTTGGGGGTTAGGCACCGCAGAAACGTGCCCCCCGCCCGGCATTTAGCGGGCTCAAAAGGCTCCGAGCGATAAGCCAGCGGAGTATTACACAATTTGTGGCGGCACCCAAACTGATTGAACTCTCCTCTTGCAGTTCATCACACAATACACACATCCATAAGGAGACCGGCACGATGGCGATGACTCTGAACATTGGCTCGGTGAAGCTGACTAAGTGGCAGCTGGCGCTCATCATTGGAACTCCCTTAGCTATCGGACTGGGCACCTACGCTGTGCAGCGCTGGACGGCTGGGCCCAAGGAGGTTGACGGGGAGAATAAGCGACGAAAGGCCAAGATCGAGAAGCAGGCCATCTCCCTAGACGGCACCGCCCCGGACAAGGAGCTGGAGCGCAATCAGAAGTCCGCCGAGCTGGGCGAGAAGCTGTCGCCTCTGAAGGAGGCCAACAACTACAAGACGGAGGGCAACAACTGCTACCGGAATGGAAAGTATGACGAGGCCATCATATTCTACGACAAGGCCATCGACAAGTGTCCCAAGGAGCACCGCACTGACATGGCCATCTTCTACCAGAATCGCGCCGCTTCTTACGAGATGCTCAAGAAGTGGTCCAAGGTCAAGGAGGACTGCACAGCCTCGCTGGAGTTCAACCCTCGCTACGCCAAGGCATATTATCGTCGTGCCCGGGCTCATGAGGCCACCAAGGATATGAACGATTGCCTGGACGATGTCACAGCCACCTGTATCCTGGAGATGTTCCAGAACAATCAAACAATCATGTTTGCTGACCGTGTGCTCAAGGAGACCGGCCGAGTGGACGCCGAGAAGGGTATGCGCGATCGGGTGCCTGTTGTGCCGTCTGCTTGCTTCGTAAACACCTATACGCGTTCCTTCATCGCGGATCCGCTGCAGACCATGGAAGTCCCGGTGTCCTCTAAGTCGGACGCACCCCCAAAGGGTTTCCTGCGCGCCCACCGTGCTTTCCTCGAGGAGAAGTACGAGGAAATCATTCCCGCCTGCACCGAAGAGATCGAATCCTCCGAGGCCGAAGCGCAGTACAAAGTAGAGGCTCTGCTTTTGCGGGGAACTTTCCACCTTCTCTGCGGCTCCTACACAGAAAGCCAGCAGGACTTTGATGCCATTTTGGCAAATGGTACGAATTTTTTCAATATTATTAAAATTAAATTTTTGTTTCGATTTTTTTTAATTAAAATTCTATTTACTTTACTTTATTGCAGCCGATGCTGATCCAAATTTGCGCGCTTATGCCTACATAAAGCGAGCAGCTCTCTTCATCCAGCTGGATCAGCGCGATAAGTGTCTAGCCGATTTTGATGAGGCGGAACGCCTGAACCCAGAGAACCCAGATGTGTACCACCAGCGCGCTCAGATACTTCTGCTGCTGGAGCAGATTGGACCCGCCTTGGCTGAGTTCGAAAAGGCAGTGCGCATTGCACCCAACCACGCCATCGCCCTCGTCCAGAAGTGCTATGCCGAGTACCGACTATCCCTTCTGGCCGGCGATGAACGGCGCTTGGAGAGCGTAATGCACAACTTCCAAAATGCCATCGAGCGGTTCCCGAGCTGCGTTGAGTGTTACAGTTTAATGGCTCAGATGTTGGCCGACCAGCAACAGTTTTCCCAGGCGCAGGAATACTACACGAAGGCCATGAAATTGGCGCCGACGAATCCCGCACTTATCGTTCACCAAGCCATCATGGTGCTTCAGTGGCGCGGAGACATTGAGGTGGCTGTCCAGCTGCTCAACAAGGCGATCGAAGTAGATCCCAAATGCGAGCTGGCCTACGAGACACTCGGAACCGTCGAAGTGCAGCGAGCGCAACTTCAGCGGGCCGTCGAGCTGTTTGAAAAGGCACTGCTTTATGCCAAGAGCCAGGCGGAGTTGGTGCACGTCTACTCGCTGCGCAACGCGGCAGTGGCCCAAATCAACGTCACCAAAAAGCTGGGTATCGACATGAACTCGGTGTCGGCAATGGCCCAATCCGGTTTAATGCCCCAAGGCGTTGCATAGAGTATAGAACCGGTGTGTTGGGATTGATAGCCCGAGGAATAGGAGAGCGAGTGCGGAGCATTTAGAGAGACGACCACCAGCAGTCCTACACTAATTAAGTTAATATCGACCATACCTGTTATTTATATATATATAAAGCTTGTTTACGTTTATGCTCCTAGCTTTAGCATAGAAATTGTCATGTATTATGGTACATATGTAATCTAGAATCTGTTGCCTAAGGAATCCACTAAGACAAATCCAGTAGCTTATGTTTAAGCGTAATATTAAACTAACAACAAGCAAGTCTGCTCATTGTGGCTCCAGTTCCGGTTGGTTGAACGCCTGTACATCGCCGGATATGTAGCTAGCGCCGATTACCCACATGGCAGTCCTCACACTGCTCACCAGCTTGTAGTCGCTCTCCAGTTGTTCCAGATAGGGCATCAGAAGTGCCGGAAGGGCGCCCAATCCGCCCGAAATGCCCATCAGAGTGCCAGCATAGTTGGGACTCATATCCAGCGGTAGCAGCTTGATGCTCGCATAGTAGGCACCCATGCCCAGAACACTCCAGATACGTGCTCCGCTCGTCTTGATCTGCAGCATGTACATGGAGCCGCATAAGAAGACCAACCAGGACATGAGGCGGCGCGTCTGAGTGCGAGTGAGTATCTGCTGCTCGATCAGCACATCGCTCAGTCGCCCTGTGGTCAGCGACGCCACCCAGTTTCCAAGGTAAGGAGCTATCGTTTCGATGATGGTGACCAGCTCCGACAAACTGCTGCCACGGGCTCGTACTTCCTCCAGCGCAGCTTGCAGCTCCTGTGGCAATTTCTGTTGGAATTCTTGTTGCATGGAGGTGGAGACCAGTGCCCAGAGCGGGGTGCTGGTAAGCATGCTCCTCCAAGGAGCAGTGTTGTTACACGTTGCTTCTACTCCTCTGCGGTGCTCCCAGTCCTCACCTTCGTATCCATCTTCCCCTTCCATGTCATCTCTGCCTCCGCTGGTGGTCAACAAAAGGGTGGTGCTGGTATTGCACCTTATATATTCCCTTTCTTCGTTCTGAATGAACGGACAATGGTCCGGAGTACTATAGCAAACGAGGGTCTAGGAAACAAATTGACCAAATTGGTTAACTAGATTAACTTGAATTTGGCCTTGGTATAGACTTACGAATCCCAGGAACCAGGCCACGGCGCCTCCCCCAACCAGATAGAAGAACACGGGCCAGTCCTGCTGCGCCATAACCAAGCCGCTGACCAACTGGACCATCGAGATGCCGATCTCACCGGCACTGAGGACGCAGCCGGCCAGCATTCCGCGCTCTTGTTCGGGCACCCACTGAGCCAGGAGTGCACACACGGCCGGAAAGCAGGGGCCTTCACAAATTCCGATCAACAGACGGACAGCAACAAGGGCATACGGACCGCCCTGGCGCACTGCAGTGGGAGTTAGCAGGGTCAGCACCGCCGATGTGAGTATGGCCACACCGAGGACCCACTTTCCGCCATACCTCTCCGCCAGACGTCCGCCCGGAACATGGGTGAGCACGTAGCCGGCGTAGAAGGCCATCACAACAAGGGATTGGGTTTGACGAGGCCACAGCTGGGAGCAGCTTATTCGTTCTTGAGGGTCCTCTTGAACAGGATGATTCCTGCGCACAGGCCCTCCACTCTGCGGTCCCTTGTGGCCCTTCTGGTTGGGATCTGGCTGCTCCTTTCCCGCTCTCAGCCTGCTTCTCAGTTGATATTCCGTCTGATTCAGTGCCATGGCCAGTTCAAAGCGCCAGTTGGGCAGCGCCTTCGGATTCAGTACCTGAGGACCGTGGTCCACCCTATGGCCACCACATTCCAAGACGATCCGGTTAAGCGAAAAGTCCAAGCACAAGCGCATTGTGTAGGCATTGATGATCGCCAAAAATGTGAAGCAGCAGAGCACCAAGCGCTGTCGCACCTCCAGATCTGTGGAATGGGTTAGATAATGGATGCCACGTGAGTTCCCTGGATTATGCTCACATACATATAAAGAAATCGCTTAACTTTTGCTCAACGACGGGCAGCATTTCGGTAACTTTATGTTTTATAGGAATTGGACAAGCCTACTGAAAGATGTTCCCCAGACTATTTTATACCCATTATATTTCATACTCATACTTTTCAGGATTATAGTTTTAATTTGCTTTATACACTTTATTTGACTAACATCATAAAAACAGTAATGTCTTAACAGAACAGCTAAAAACACGCTTCACTTTACACATTGATCAACAATATAAAATGTACAAATTTCATCATTTGATTTACAATACGGCAATACGAGCTCTGTTACACGAAATCCTTAATGTGAAATCGCTGTTTATTTAAAAACTAAATAATAATTAAGAGAGTACGTTGCGTGCGCGGCGAAGGGGGATAGTCTTGAATTAGGATTGGGATATGGATTAGGCTAAGGGCTATCCTAGCTAAAAGAAAGGGATACACATGGTACACTGCGCACGTTCGGGAGTGTAAGTAAATTCGCTTAAATTAGTTAGTTGGCGCTTGGGCCAGGGATCGGCCAGATCGGGAATACTATAAAACTAGCAATTTGAACAACAGCCACTGCGTGTACGGCATGACACTGCTCTTGGGAACTCCGAGTGGTTCCCAGCTCACGGATCACGAAACACGAGTCACGAGTCCGCGTAGACAGCGCTTTAACTAGATTACAATGTATACATATATGTATGGCACTTGTTTGGGCGATCCGCCTTAGGAGCTCTGCTCCAGACCCTTCGACTTTTCACCATCCACCTTGCGCTCCTGTGCCTCAAAGTCCACGGAACGCGGCTGGATGGGGGCGTTGTTGAACGGCTGCACCTCTCCGGATGCCCAGATGCAGTAGATCACGGCAGTGATGCACAGCACACCGAAGGCCACCCAGAACACAAGACGCCACTCCAGCAACGAGGCCTGTAAGGGAAGAACCAACTGATTAGCTAGAGGTCCACAACATCACTTTTCACTCTTCAGATCAGGTTTAGGTAATCAAAGCAAAGGTCATTGATCTATTCCTCCTACTTCCTACTGATACTCACATTTGGTGTCATCACGCCCACCAGGTACGGCGTAATCACTCCGGTGATTGCTCCAATTCCGTTTGTGATGGCCATGAGCGTTCCGGCGTAGTTCGGACTCATGTCCAGGGGACTCAGCTTCATGCCCGCATAGTAGGCGCCCATCAGGCCCATGCAGATGGTGAAGAGCACCACGACGAGGACTCGATCGCAGCCGGCGTAGGAGGCGCCCACCATGAAGATGGCGGGTCCGAAGGCGGCCAGACCCGTCATCACCTTGCGAGTGTTCGTGGTGCTCATCAGGCCAGAGCGGATCATCCAATCGGCCACAAAGCCACTGCCCACGGACACGATCCACATCATGATGTAGGGCAGCGAGGAGTACAGACCGTTGGCCTTGATCGAGAACTGGAGCACGTCGGCCATGTACTTGGGCAGATCCGTCACCATGATGTAGAAGCCCCAATCGTGACCAATCTGGGCTGCCACCAGGGCAAACATGGGCAGGTTGGTGAGGATCGCCTTCCAGGGAGTGGGGGGCAGGTCCTCGTTGCGGCTAATGGTGCCGATCTCCTTGACCAGATACTCGCGCTCGCTGGGCTTGATGAAGGGATGCGAAGTGGGATCGCTGTAGCAGAGGAAGATCTACGAGCAACAATAGTTGGGTTTAGTACAATTATTGAGTGGGGAAGTGCTTTTAAGCTTTACTTACAAAGATGGCAAACCAGACAACACCTAGGCCGCCGAAGAAGTAGAACACAAACTCCCAACCATAGGCGTCTATAAAGACTCCCGACAACATGTTGCCCATGATAGTGCCCACTTGACCACCACCCAGCACCAGAGCACCCAGCTTTCCACGTTCGTTGGCCGGAACCCAAGCAGCCAGCAGGACACTCAAAGCGGGAAAGGTGGTTCCCTCGCCCAGACCCATCAGAACTCGGGTCACAATCAGCCAGTCGGAATCACCCTTGTGGATGGCCAAGGGCGTCAGGAGGGTGAACACGGCGGTGGACAGAATGCCAAGACCCAGAGTCCATTTGCCACCGAACTTCTCGGCCAGCAGGCCGCCGGGAATGTGGGTGACAATGTAACCGATGTAGAAGGAGGACAGGATCAAGCCTTGCAGCTCCTCGGACCATTCAAAGTTGCCACCAGGCTGGAAAATAAATGATTTACGTTTTAGGTAATATATTTACGTAATAGGATCCATTCTGATAATGGTCTTCGGCGCTACTCACAGCGGATCCCACGTCGAGGTCATCGGCTGGGCAGATCGCTTCAGAATCGTCGTCCGAGGAGTTCTTCTTGACCACCAGTACGGTGATGGCCTGCGAAAGACAGACGCGCATCGTGTAGGCATTCAGGATGGCCAGGAAGCCCATGATGGCCAGGATCACTCGCTGGGGTATCACGAAATCTGCGGGCGAGAGAATGGAGATCGGTATTGACGTCAGTGGATGTCTTGGTGTACAGCGTACACTAATTAACCTGCTGGGCAACATTTGACCAAACACTGCGTCAAACATTTTACGAGCCAAACGGATTTGCGTCTCCCATATGTATATGCACATATATTGTTCAAGCAATTAACTTATTTAATTCGGTTAGCGTGCGAATAAATAGTTTGACGGGTGACTCAATTGGGTACAAATCAATTTGCGCTGATAAACTTCAAATTGCACTTGATTGCTGTGGCACTATATCAATTGGCGGAACTGCTGAACTGGCGATTTGAGTAACTTTTCAATACAAGCGATTGGGAAAGGTTTGAAAAAAGCTTACTAAATTAAATATAATACATAAAGAGCTAGTTGTTCAATGCGGAAAACTAGGTAAGTTAATGAATTGACCAAGAGTTTCAGTTTTTAAAGCTTAAACAAATTATTGGCCGCGCAGATACTAAGTAGATATTTAAACAAGCATGATGACACCAAAGTGTATTTTTTAATGCTCACGAGAGATACATTTGAAACCAGTTTACAATTTGAAAGATAGAGAAATTATGCGTAAGCAACTGCGACTCAGAGAAATAATCGTATAAAATTATAGAATATACTAGGCCTGTTCCGATTTTTAACCCCATTTGTGCTTTCACTAGACATGAATTGATGTGAAATGGTATATATTATATTTAAACATTTTAATTTAAGAACTCCCAAAACTCCGATTCCAAAAGTATCATCAAGTGATCTACGATAAACCAGCCAAATAATCAAACTCAATAAATAAATACTCTTCATAGGCGGCAATAAAGAACTTATTACGATTAAATATTCAATAAATCACTTGCTGATATACGGGGTTCGTATACTCCTAATTTTTATGCTCTTATTTATAGACTTCCAGCACGAGTTGCTTTATTGTTCATGTAGTTATTCAAAGGAATTTGAGGAACTTCCTGTCTCGTGAGGTATATGGCTTGAAAGATTGGGGTCTATATAAACGGCGCTAGGCACTCGTGTCCCTCTATTTTAATCACCAACAGACGTAGTTTATGCGATGGCCATATCGCAATCAAATTGTTAAGCGGAATTACGCCCTGATAAGGCGGAGTGCGGTAGATCTGCGATAAACATTTGGAGTACACCGTGAAGTATGCGAAATCGCTAACCGAGCACAATGACCATAACCATAAACCAATGGCGGTGCCAATTAAGTAATTTTGGGCATAAATTCATGCGGCTTCAATAATAGATGGGCTTCAATAATGGATGTCGAAGGTTGAATTGATTAAGTTCCTGGACACGCTTGGTTAACATTGACCAATTCCATTCAGATGGCATAGAAATAAACGATCTGCGATCTAACAAGAACAGCACGCAAAGCACTTGGATCTCTGGATTGCGAGTAAACAAACAGGCTGGCCTCTTGGGTAAACACAATCAGAATCCAATTCATGACAATATTATTAGATCACCCCCACAGCCGCCGACTTCTGTTGTTTTGTTGACACTTTTGTGAGCCACGATTCCCCACCTACGTCAGAAATCTTTATACATATTGTCAAGAAAGCCGCCCGCCAGTAAAAGTTAAACATTCATGTTTGCCTTTTTAATGGCATTCAAAACTCCCTTAGTTTATGAGAAATTGTTTCGCAAAAAAGCCCATCGACGTCACCCACTAACAAGTTTATTTTGCCTATAAATTAACATCAATATATCTTTGCTGGCCGCAAATTGCATTAAGCCACCGTAACTGGTCAAATTAACAATGTGTCTGTATTTGACAGGTTACTTAACCAAATTCGACACAAACATTTATTGGCGCTCACTCCACGAGTGTCAAATGAAAAATAAAATCAAGAAATAAAATATGATTACCAAGTGATAAGTTGATAAGGCCGTGTATGTAAATGGGTGCTAATCATATCGCCGCCCGTCAAGTATGCCAATATTTTCAGCCCACCAATCCACTTGATGATGGCGTTAATATATGACCCCTCTCCATCTAAGAACCACCACCCACGATAAGCCAGTTAAGAGTTCAGATTTAATCAGAGTTTAGTAACGCGACCTTATCGCGCATGTGAGTGGGAGAGCGGGCACTCACTTCTAACTAGATTTAATCGCATTAGCTAACCCCTTCTACATACACTCACTTCTTGCAAATACAACGAGCTTGTAAAGCTGACCCTTGCTACACTGATTACTCTACTGATTAGAAATAGGTTTCACAATCACAAGAATAAATTATCTCTGAAGCTCAGAGAAACTTTCCAATTAGCCAGGCAATACAATTGAACTAGTTTCAATCGTGGGAGCTCTGTTGGAATTCCAAAAAAACTAAGTACATATGTCTATTTTAAATAACAAATATGTTAATAACAATTAAATGCACATCTCATCAAACTAATTCCCTCAATAGCGAATGTGATTCCCTTCCAGCTCAGTAATAGCTCACTTTATTACCTTAAAGCTCGGCTAATAGTTAATTCTATATGAGGAAAATGACTTTTGGTTTTTTAATGTGATGGCGATGGTCACTCGTATCCGTTGCATTAATGAGAAAACGAAAACAATTCCATCTGTCCGTCCGTACTCAGATTCTGCTGACATTTCTGGGTCCGTGGCTCTTTGTCCGGCGATCGAGAATGTCTAAGAGATAGCCTCGAATGAATAACCCTCATTTCTTTTGCTTGCATTTCCGCGGTCTTGCGAAAATTATGTCAATGGGCCTGGGGGCCAGAGGGTCGTCTCTGGAGTCCGATTGCCGCATAAGAGCATATGTATATAGCAGATAGTACTGCTACCCATGCCGGACCCTTTCCATATGATAATGAGTCTTGGTGTAACTGGGACGGGCCACAAGCGATTAGTCGGGCTGATTGCCGTAGCTCAAAACTAATGCCCCATGCTGCCCCAATGCCAATCGGCTAATTTATGGCAAAATTGTAAATTTGTTAGTTCATTAGGCTAGAACTTGTGGCAAAAAAGCAGTTAGGCATCATTTAACATTTCAGCCCTTTGTTGGGAAACATTCACAACGGAGCCATATAACTCGTTGGGAAACCGAGCCATATATCATATCTTGTTAGGTAGAGCTAGTACTGCCCAAAAGCTAATTAGTTCAATAATTGCTTTTGTTGCGGTTTAGGCTTAATGCAGATACCATGATACGAATATCTTCGTCGGCTTACGTGATTTCTACCACAACATTTTATTTTCGTAAAGCTCTTACGGCTGACATACTCGTATGTCTGTATGTAGTGGTTGCCCAATCGGACGAAAGAATTCTTTATTGCATTGACCTTGCCCAAAAAAGAACAGAACAGAAAGAAAGATGGGGCGAGGAAATGGTGTGGGAGGGTATACATATATGTCTATGGGCATGGGCAGGTCCATAATCGGTTCCACAAGCCCCTAATAACTGTTAGCCCTTCAATGGTCGTAATCGAGCCGCTCGAGAACCATAATCCTACGCGAAGGTACCACCTGCCGTGCGAGATGATACCCTTTACTTTGGCGCTGCGCTGGTTGGCTGGTAAGCAGCAAGTCACATGCAAATCGTATGCAAAATATTTACCAATATTATGTGAACGCATGCCGGGAATTTCAATTTGTAGACACCCAAACAAACGTGAAATGCGAGACGCGAGGCGCAGAAGATTTGAAACAAATCGGAAGTGGCAGAGGCGTTTGTCATTGTTTTCATTTATGCACAATTCATATGGGTTTTATGTCTGTTTTTTATATCTGTTTGTTTGGTCAATGTCGGTTAACTTTAGGCGAGCACTACCACTCGAAAAGGCCCCTCACGATCGCAGGTTCAACGATCCACACAATCCGCATTCTGAATACTCCGCACGCGGCGCACGCGGCACTTCCTTATGGCCATTTGATGATGATGGTGATCGTGATGGTGATGATGATGGCGATGATGATGGAGTGACGATGGTGGTGGGGTGATAGCACTGGGATGTGGCACACTTACACCTCGAGAGGCTTATGCCCCACTGCGGCTGTTGCGTCATCTCGGGACTGTTTTGTGGCTGCGTCAACAAGCTGGCCAGTTCCTTCGCCACGGTTACGGGTTTAAGGACAACGGCGGATCCTTAATACCAACAAACGCGCACTCGGCTCTACGCTTTTTACCGCTCTTTCGGCTATCGGCGGTTTCTGTATCGGCTCTGCAGTTTTCCTTGGCGCACGCGCAATTGCGAAGGCGAAGATGCAGAGGGGAATGTGAATTGGTTGGTTTACTGTTACTGTTGGGTCAGTAGTGATTTTCGAACTCGATCTCGCACTCGAAGTCGAACTCGCAAACTGGGCTGGGTTCTAAGTCTCCAAATCGAAATCCTAAACGAATTCGAACTCGAATTCCAAACCGATCCGCGCACGCCGCCAGCCAAATTACAAATGAGAAATTATTCCCGCTGACTTTAGTTTATATTTATATGAGAGCAGATAAGCGTCGCTCCGCTGCTGCTGCGCAGCCGGCGTCTCTGCGGCAGCGGGAGTTTTTTCATATTATTTTATTTTATGTTTTTCTCTTTTTTTCGCTCGCTGTTGTTGGTTTTATTGGTTGCCGGCCAACGAACGTGTATCGCTACATTGACAAGGAGTTGACTCGTAAGACTTGCTGTACATGCTGCCACAATTGAGCACTGCGAACAAATACGTGCACCAATACAGTTTGATCATGAATTTCACTTTTGGGGATGCCAAGCAGTAAGTATTTTTATCTCAAAAAATAGCTTGTACGTAAATATTTAGTCACAAAACCCAATGCATCACTTTATTTACTTACCTATCCATTTGATATACAAAGTTTGCATAATATATACAAATCTTAATATCCATAGTGAAATATTACAACTAAAATTTGTGTAAATATTTTATAACTATAACTAGTTTAAGCTCGAAATGCAAAACACTGTGTGGAATATTATTTTAATCTGATTGCTTTCTAACTTTTAAGCTCACCAACACTTACTCTATTACTTCTTTTCTTTATACGTAGTAAAACAAAATGAAATTATTCTTTGTAATCTGTGGTTAGGAATGCAAGGAGCGTATAACTATCATTACAGATGACTGTATAAATTTGGCTTTTGAAAATATTTTAAAATCTTGCTAGTTGAAAAGCTGACGGCTTTTCTCTCTGTGCATGCCTTGTAGCACCTCATAAACGCAGTCGCTATCTTGGCAGGGTCGATCGGCGATCCAATCGCATTCTATCAGCCATCGGGCCGCCACATGCCACAACTACGCACAGCTATTGGCCAATTGAAGCCCGATTTCGATTTCGATTTCAGTTGGTATCAGCGGGCAATCGATTCTGCGCTGAATACCTCAACGGGTTTCCTCACCTGCACGCGCTCTCTTTGTGTCGCTCTATAAGCTATTGGATCGCGAATCGAAAAACGCACCTTACTATGTATGTACATGCATGTGTGCAGCCAGTTTCAGTTCAGAACTCGCGGAACCGGAATGCCCGAAACCGAAACATTGGCCAAAAGAATGGCCCAGACTGGAAGGTAGCTGCACCCAGATGCACCCAGCGAAATACGCGTCTGTCCATTGCCGATTTCCCCAATGAAACTATCGTGGTCCACGGGCTTCTTACCCAGAACTTTCCCCCAAGCATACCCTACCCTTGCAAGTAGTTACATATGTATTCACAAAATGCGAGTTGGGAATTATTGCCTTGTCTTAATATAGAATTTCCATAGAATGGGGTGTTGAGTGTTGAAAATGAAAGCACTTAGTCCTACGGAAGAGGCTTATCTTGCCATTGATATTATCTTATTTATAGAACTGAATAATCGTATTCCCACTGATTAATCGTACTTATAACTAAGTAATCAGTTCAAAGATACAAGACACAACCCCGATTAAAGTTCGGCATAACAATAGGAGCCCAGTAAAACGTGCGGTAATAAACTATTCTCGCTTTGCACACATTTTTTAAAAATAACATTTCAAGAACATTTACATTTTTTATACACGCGGCAAGGTATCTCGTCTGGATATAAAACTATATGCCTATATATACTTTAAATCCCACAAGTATGTCACAGCAGCAGCACATTTCTTTGTTCAGCCATCCAACCGAGCCACATATTAAATGAACATGTATAAAATGGGACATCGATGGCCGCAGAGTGATAGCGGAAGCACAATTCCTTATGCCACAGCCTAGCTACCCGGCTGGCTGCAGCGTAGGGTATTGCTTTAGTTTGGAATTAGTTTAGATGCAGTTTGGCTGTATTAGTTAGTCGGCTGCTTTCACCGGTTAGAGGCGGGTTGCGACTTTATGCAATGCAACTAGCTGGAAAAGAGGGGGTGGTAGTGGGCGGTGGGCGGTGGGTGGTCGCGAGAATGGGCTTCTAGCCGGGTGAACCACCTCAAACCGCCCCTGACACCTCAATGGTACGCTCGCTATTCCGAATTCATTACGGGCTCAGTTTCGATTTCAGTCGAATTCGGATGAATTGCTATACTATACGGGTGTATCTGTATCTGCATAAGTCGGAGCGCACTCGCAAACTGAAGGCTTAACCAGTTACAGATGCGGTTCAATGCAGCTTAGCTGGGTTATTAATAAGCATTCGTTGTTTCGCTTATATATTCGCATATATCTGCCGATATACTCGTATACATTTCATGGGTTTGCCTTGTGACTTGTGGAATATTTTGCGATCCGTTTCGGTGTCCCGAGGAAGTACTCGAAAAGGTGTCTCAATGAATTGTACTTAGGGCGGGATTATTGTGCGTCCGCTAAGGTTTGGCACATGCATTGTCTCCGTCATTATCGCCGGAAATATAATCCATTGCCGAGTGCTCTCCATGTAAAGCCAGAGCGAAGTGTACCCCATGTTTATCAGTTAAACTTTGCCGGCCTTATCGATGGCACACTTTGTCCAGACTCGAGATCATCCAGGTGACAACTGGGCTAGATAAGCGGCGTTCGCTGTGAATTCCAGCTTGACAGCGACATGGACTTGGACATGAACATGGACTGGGAATATTCCGCCTTTGGCTTTTTAATGAAAAGTGACAAACTTCAATTGATGTGCACCCCATCAATTAGCCGCACGCACATCGCATCCGATCCGCTTGGAACCATCCACCATCCACCATCCACCATCCATGATCCATGATCCACGATATCTGATATGCGATATGCTGATCTTCAAACTCGATCATCTCGTGTTGGCTTTATTAAGTCAGCGAAGCATGCTGCGCAAAATGATGCTACTCTGCAATTGAGATGTTTGTCCACATAAATTATACGAATATTCTGAATGTAGCCGTCGATATGGTAATGGATGGTAATACATGTTCGACGGACTCTAGAATCCAGCTTAAACTGGCTCCAAACGTCCATGACCGAAAACCCAACCAGCTTGAACTGGTAGTTTGGACGGTTGGACGGTTGGACGGATGGACCGACTTCGCCGCAGACGACCAATATAGCACTCAATATTTAACTCGCATACCAAATATTTTGCGTTATATGTATACTATACTATACTGCGAATGAATTGAAGCGGCCAGAAAGTCGTTTAATGGAATGCGACGGGCGCCGCCAAACATTATGTACATATATCAACGCAAAATTACACACTCTTTTCGAGTGACATGATAGCAGGGGAATCTCAAAATATGTGTTTTATTACGTATTAACTAAGCGGTAAATAGAATCGGATTGATCCAGAGATTTCACAGAAACAACGTGAAAAACACGATGAAACGATGCGTTTAACAGATAAGGATCGTATTTTCAACGCTTCAAGGAAATTTGCGAGTGCGCCTTGAAATGCTCCAGAATTTTCTAGTCAACTTGATCGGTCATGTCTGTGCCAATTAAAGCCTGCAAATCAAGTGAAAATTTCATCTATGAATTCCAGACAGAAACAGACCTCCAGATTGCAGAGGGTATAAGGACATAAGTCAGGAACTCTGAGTGGTGAGGAGGTATCAATCATCATCACCATATAAAGGGGGAGAAAACTAATAGTTGCGCAAATATTTTTAGCTGCCTTTATGAACGGCCACTTGAGTGGCAGGCAATTGAAGCTGGTTGAACGAATAATAGTGCTCTAGAGAATTTCTTTGGCAACAGATAGCAGCATCAGCATATGCTATCTTTATGGCAGGGATCAGCGGTAATGATGATATAATCTAAGAGTATATCAAGTTATATCCGTCGCGATAAGATATCCTTTATCTGCAGCTGATCACGCTGCCTAAACTGTGCTTAAAATGCCAAGCTCATGATATAGAATGAAGTGTTTTCTAGTCCTAAAAGGACAATTGTATTTCCGCAACTATATTCGTGTTAGCCAGTCATCGAATGAGAGCACTTTTAGACACATGCCTCTAACGAGTTTGTAACAACATAAATCATTCGAGCGAAATCTCAACGGGTGATCGACATCGGTTGGCCGGAATAGTGGGAATCGTTCGAGTAAAATGCAGCAAGTAAGCACTTAAGTAATTAAAACAGCCAACAAATAGTCGAGTCAAGCAAATGGCCGCTCTATTGACATTTCGAGGGTCATCGGCGATGCTGAGAAAACACTCGAGCTCACTGAAATAAAGCCCAGACCGCAAAACGTCACGAGACTCGAATTACTTGGCCAAATTGGAGTGGAATGGATTGGATTGCATGGAGTCGATTGTAGATCGGGCAGAGTGGTGTGGGGTTAACTGCTCGAAGGCTGAAGTCCATGGGGTCACGGGGTCATGGGGCTACGGCTATGGACCATGGGCCAGTAAGTTCTGGGTACGTTTCGTACTGTTCTAATATGGCCATATTCGAGGCGATCATAAAAACTATAAAGGAACGGGCGTAACGGGTCGGCCAGAGTTGGCTATCTTAAAGGTGCCTTTTACAATGCTACTAACCATAATATCGGCACCAATCTTTATAGCCGACAGTGACTTTATAGTGCGACTTTTGTACCAAGGCTTCAGGCAAAAGATAAGATTGGTCGCGAGAGCGCAGGCGGGAATCTCCGCGCCTCAGCCAGGGACACATGGTTCACATAGCTCCCAAATCTGCGCATGTGACATATATGATGCATCCCCCACCTGCGGCTCCCATTGATACCGATTTGTGGGCTGGAGTGGAGCACGACTTCGAGAGCTGCAAATCGCATGGGTGCGTCATTCTCAAGGGGCTTAATAACTTAATTGGCCATATCTCACTTTGATCGCCTGTCGTGTGCGCCGCTTTATAAGCTAAGGGAAAGTTTATAAGCCAAAAGCAATTGCAGCACTCGTGTCGTATACGGGTTATTTTCGTACTGCTAAAATTCCGTTTTTCCCCAAACGGGGGACTGACTGGCATTCTGCCCTGATACATGATTTAATATACAGTCAAGATGCAGCCCCTGTAAAAAGTAACCTTTTACTTGTTTG